CCCCCTGCTTTATTCTACCCTCTCAGGATTGCTTTGGCTTTTCAGTATCTTTTGTGCTTCCATATGAATTTTAGAACTATTTGTTTCTGTTCATTGAAGAATGCTGTCAGTATTTTGATAGAGATTGCATTGCATCTGTAGATTGCTTTAGGCAGGATGGCCATTTTTTTTTTTTTGAGAGGGCATCTCATATTTATTGATCATATGGTTGTTAACAACAAGGATGGCCATTTTGACAATATTAATTCTTCCTACCCAAGAGCATGGGATGAATTTCCATTTATTAGTGTCCTCTTTAATTTCTCTTATGAGTGTCTTAGAGTTTTCAGGGTATAGAGTTTCAGGGTATAGGTCTTTCACTTCCTTGGTTAGGTTTATTCCTAGGTATTTTATTCTTTTTAATGCAATTGTGAATGGAATTGTTCTCTTGATTTCTGTTTCTGCTAGTTCATCATTAGTGCATAGGTATGGAACAGATTTCTGTGTATTAATTTTTTATCCTCAACCTCACTGAATTCAGATATTAGTTCTAGTAGTTTTGGAGTGGATCCAGAGAGTACATTTTTAAGGCTCTATCCCACAGAAATATTTCACATACACACAAAGACATATAAACAGGGACTTTTCAGTATAATATCATTTAATAATCTAAAATTGGAGCCATGTAAATGTCTGGGAATAGGTGAATTCTAAGTAAAGTATGATATGTTTATACCATGAGAGTGTAGTAGTTGAAACAAAGTCTCCAGACCCAGGGTGCTTGGGTTAATATCTCAGCTCTACTGCTTACCAGCTATGTGACCTTGGATAAAAGGCTGAACTTGTCTGTGACTCAGTTTCCTCAAACATAAAAAGAACATCAATTTTCCTTGTTCGTAAGACTATTGTGGGAATTAAATGAGATACTACTCTAAAGAGCCAGAACATTGTAGAGACCCATAGCATGTATTAAATATAATTAAATATATGTTAGCATGATTCTTATTTTTATCACACAATTGTGTAGCATTTAAAAAAAATAGGATCCATCTGTAGATCCTGCCATAGAAAACTGCAAAATACACTAATAGGTAAAAAAAAAAAAAAAGGTTGTAGAACAATGTGTAAAGGATGATTCTATTAATATTTCAAGTGTATATAGGAAAATGCACCTATATTTATATAAATGCATAGAAGAGAGTGTGCAAGGACCTGCTGACAGCAACAATTATCTCTGGAGAAGGAATTGGATTGAATGGAAGAAAGAACTGAAAGATCTTCACTTTCTTCCTCTCCATATTCTGGACTTGATGAGTTGTTTTACAAGCATAGATTAGTGTTATATAAATACTTTTAAAAATATAATAAGTAGACAAGTAAAGGAGCAATAGGTACAGTGAAAACAATCATGAACAAGTGAATATCTGCAGTGTTTTAACAAACTGAGTTTCCAAGGAAAAGGTAAGTAGGACTTCTCAGTCCATGGTCACAGATCTAACACAAGAACAGGATTAAGATATGGCAAGTAAGGTGGCTAGTGCATGAAAAACGAAGAAGGCAGTCACTTTTAGGGCCATGACTTGCACAATCCTTAGGCCTGGCCCTGATCTAACACTGCATTGAAAATATCTGCAAAGTTAAAGTGTTTGCTTCTTAAGCAGCCAGTATTGTAAAAAATTAAATGTCCTGAAAAATGTGGACTTCCTTTTCTCTCCACTCACATTTGAAAGAAAAATTAATAACTTAGTTGATTTTTGACATCTTGAGTGTAAGTTTAATGTATCCCAGGTACAGTTTCCCAGAAAGTGGACTGAGCAAAGGTCTCACCTTCTTCCTAGCTATTCACTCTTCTCTTCTGGAATGTCATCCTGAAAAAAAGGAGATTATCTGGGTCAGTGTGTGGTGTGTAGGAGGAGTAGACAGAGTTTTCATAAGTCTTTAAATGCTGAAGTATTAAGCTTTGGACTCTCACATGGTTTCACAGGTAATTTACCTTCTTTCTTTGGCTGCAGTGACAGCAACATAATCATTTGTGAAGTTAACTGGCTTCGGAAGGCAGTATGACATTGGTCCAGAGTGAAATGAAACATCCAACCCAGAGTGGTATTTGCCTATTTTCCTGAAATACCCCAGAATGACTCTACCGGTTACTTATGGAAGACATTCATTCTGACTTGTCAGTGCCTATAAATAATTTTGAGTATCATCTCTAGGAAAAACTAAGACTATGGCTCAATGGATAGTTTCATGCATAGTCTAACCAGTTGAGCTAACACCTACAGATACTAAAAATGATAGTTTAGTCCTCAACTGCATGGCAATACCACTAGATGGCGATAGTTCCTGATTGTCATACACCAAGCTGGTATCTCCCCAAACATGTTGCATTTTTCAAGGTCAGGCCTTCATTATCAAGAGAAAAGGACACCAGATAAAGGCCACATGAAGTAGATAACTAAAAACGGGGTCCAAAATTTCATATTAAATAGGGGGAAGAAACGTGATTAGGGATTTATCTTACAAAATGATTTTTTTTTAATGAAAGTACTTCCATTTTTATATTGACAAATTATAAAATTTAAGTTCTAATCATAACTCCCAATTATCAAGATAAAGAATGAATCACCTTTTGATCGTGCTTATAGAGATAGAGTATCTTTTAGAAATATTTTGAGAACCTAACACAATATCCTTTATTCCAAGACTTACAATGTGAGCACTATTTTGGGGATGAGTGTCTAGGGTATTTAACCCTTTTTTTTAAAAAGGATATCTCTTAGTTCCTTGAAAGCCAAATCATTCCCTTTGGAAATTTTAGCATTTTTGTCTGTTTTGTTTCCATTTGTTAACTGGTCTACTCATTAATCTATGATTTGTGTAGGAATCAAATTCTATAAATATCATTTTCATCAATATCATTGTATCTTGCTGCAATAGACAGAATTTTAAGATAGCCCCCAAGATTCCTACCTGCTGGTGTGTACAAACTGTGTAATTCCCTCCTGAGTGTGGATAGGGACTGTAAATATTATTCAGTAGTCACTCTTGTAAGCACGTTATATTATATGAGTCTGTGTCATAGCAGATTCGAGTCAGATTATCCAGTTGGTCTTGAAGAAGCAAATAGCCATGTGTGAACTGCTTATGGAGGGACATATGGCACGGACCTGAGGGTACCCTCTAGGAGCTAAGAGGTGTCCCTGCTGACAGCAAGAAAGAAAATGATGACTTTAGTCCTATTATCACCAGGAATTGAATGCTTCCAACCACTAGTGAACTTGAAAGAAGACCCCAACCCTCAGATGAGACCATAATCCTAACCAATACTGTAATTTTTTAGCAGAGAACCTAGTTAGCCCATGCCAGGACTCTTGCCCCACAGAAACTGTGAGATAATAAATTAATATTGTTTCAAGCTGCTAAGTCTGTGGCAATTTCTTACGTAGCAAGAGAAAACTAATAGAGTTGCATTCTTCAAATATTTATATTATTTGGCTAAATGCTTATAGACTCAATAAAAAAAATTTATAGAGTTGTTGGTAAAAAGTATTCAGAAAGACAGATTCTACTATTAAGAGGAATGGATTTTTGAGTGAGGATAAAGACTACAAATAGTCAGCTCATTAGTGAATATTTTATTGCATATTTAAATTCTATGATGATTTTTGCTTCTTCAAGCAACCCTGTAACTGTAAGACAAGGGACACTTTGGAAAATAAGGATTCCTTCCCCACAGTTAAGATAGAATCCCTAGCCTCAAAAATTTTTGATATACAATTACAGTAATAGTAAAATGGTGTTTAAGACCATCCTTTTTCCTGTTCCTGCTCCTTTCCCTTCCCTTTCACAGATCTTGATTCCAAAGGCACTCTTTAATAAGCATCTTTCATAACAAACTCTGTTTTAGAGTCCTCAGAGTCAGTTTCCTAAGAAACCCCATCTACAAACCCAAACTTCAATAATGAAGTCACCTGCACTATAGTCCAAAAGGTCTAGCATATACACACATATATATGTATATATGTATGTGGGGCAGAGACAGAAAGAAGACAAATGTGGAAAAATGTTAGAAGTTGGTTTATACTGGTAAAGTATATATAGGTTTTCATTGTATTCTTTTTTCAAATTTTCTAGTTATGAATTTTTTTCAAAATAAAAGGAGAAAAGTAGACAAAGAGAAGATGCATTATTAACAAAGAGACAAAATATGATAATGACTTCTCAAAATTAACAATGGAAGTCAGAAAACAATGGAAGTGTATCTGGAGAACACTAAAAAAATAACTATCAATCTATAATTCAATGCCAAACAAAAATATTCTTTAAAAATGAAGACAAATACTTCCATACAAATATTAAAAGAATCTATCATCAGCAGACTCACCATAAAAGAAATAATATAGTAAGTTATTCAAGTTGAAGGGAAATTATCCCAAATAGAAGTATGGAGATCTAGGAAGAAGTGACGAACAACAGTAAATATGTGAATAAATATATATAGATATTAACTTAATGAAACAGCAATAATAATTTATTGGGGAGATAGTTTGGATTAAAATGTAGAAACTTAAAATCTCTCACCTGACTCTTTGGCAATTTCCTAACCACGACTGAGCAAGAAAGAGACTAGAAAGACTAATGGTGTGTAGGACTAATGGGCAGAAGCCTACATTAGGCAGGCTAAACATGAAAGTGTGATGGGACTCTATCTTTTTCCCCATAGCAAATTTGAAAGCAAAATATGGCAACTCCGAGTTATCTGCTTGAAAAGAACACTAGGACAGAGCACTTCAAATGACAGGAGACATGCATCATGCATTTAAACTATGAGTTTCAAACTCCTTCTCAGCTAAGTAGTCTATCTGGGTTTTGGGTAAGTAGTAGATTAAGTTTTCTTTCACAATTTCCCCCCCTAGCACAGGGCACATTATTATAGGTATAATAACAACAATGGTAATAAGCAACAGCAGTGAAGAAACAAATCCAAAATTACATACTCACAAACACACACAATTCCTACCCCAAACAAGGAAAAAAATAAAAAACAAAAAGTAAGAAAACCTAAACAATACATAAATTTGTCCTTTTTTGAACAGTGAACCAGGGTTAGAGAGGGTTATAAAAGATTTAAACTCAGAGCTCTTAGGATGGGGAGCATTAAAAACAGTATTCTTACTATTACATTTGCTTTCTTTATATCTGTTACTCACATATTATTACATTACCCTATAGTGGTTTTCCCAGAAATTATAATATTCATTCTTAACATATTTAAATCTAATATAATGGGTACTTTGCCATTTCCCAAGAAAGTTTCAACACTTAACTCCATTTACCTCTCTCCTGCCTTCTTTTTTTCTGTACTGCTGTGGTCAGGTATATATCCCATTAGATATATTTGTCCAGTTTGTTACTGGGTTACCTTTTTTCCTTATTGATCTGTGGAAACTTTTTAATTTTTAATATTTTGGATGTTATTCCTTTTCCAGTTTTACACTGCAAATATTTTCTTAGTCTATGCTCTCATTTTTATAAAACAGCTTTATTGAGGTATAATTAACATATAATCAACTACATATATTTCATGTGTACAATTTGATGAGTTTTGACATATCTATACACCTGTGAAACCTTCAACACAATCAAGATACTGAACACATGCATCATCCCCCAAAGTTCCTTCATACTGCTGTGTTGTCCATTCCCCTTCATATACCCTACTCTACCCCCCTCTTCAGGAACCCACTGGCATGTTTCTTGCCTCCATAGGTTATTTGTATTTTCTAGGATTTAACATAAAAGGAATCATACAATGTGTACTCTTTTTTGCCTGGCTTTTTTTACTCAGTATAATTGAGATTTAGCCATCCTGTTGCCTCATTCCTTTTTATTGTTTTTCTGAGTAGTATCCATTGTATGAACATACTAATGTTTTCACAGGTTGGTAGACATTTGGATTGCTACTACTTGGTACTTGTTTTCTTTTTAGCAGTCTTTTTAACTTTACCCATTCTAGTGGGTGTAGTTTATATTTCCCTGATGACTAATGTTATTGAGTACCTTTTTTTTTGCTTATTAACCAAAGTATCTGTTTGTATCTTTTGCCCATTTTTAATTGTGTTGTTTGCCTTCTTATTGTTGAACTGTAAGAATTCTTTGTATATTCTGATACAAACTCTTTCAACATATAAGTGCTAGTGAATATTTTTTTCCCCAGATCTAACTTGTCTTTCAAACAAAAGTTTTGTTTTGTTTTATTTTTGCCCTGCACACTCTGGTAGCAGCAAACCATGTTCGGAGGGTTTGTTAAGTAAATCCCAGAATCTGAGCTCAATTGTTTATGCTATTATTTGAACAATTACTCTTCTGTTTCCATCAGTGAAGTAATTGTGCAACATCCCCCTGATGTCAAATAAAATACTGCCTAGAACAGCACAAAAGACCCTTAGTTCGCTGTCATAAAGTTGTTTGCTTTATAATATAAGCCTCTCAAAAGTAGCCAGGTCATCATGCTGAAAATCTGTAACTGATTTAAAGCTCACAAGTTATTAGCCCTAATTAATAAACTGAGCTCATCCTCCAAAAGGCAGTTTCAGAGACTATCAGAAAGCAAAGACACTCTTAACTTGCTGCACTTAAAGCTGCTACTGATGCGTTTAGCTGCCTGAGACCTGTGTCAAAGCAGTCCACTTTGTTACCAGGGTCCTGCAAATTTTCATCTGCAACATCACTGATTTCATGCCTGATCAACATGACTGTCCTTCTAAATTTGGTCAGTGTCCCAAATGTCCCTCCAATGAGCCAACTAAAAGTATTTGCTCTCTGGCATCAACTGCAACACAACAGTAGGAAGGGAATCAGAAAAGAG